CCCCCCCCCCCCGCCACGGGGTCTGAGGGCGTAGCCCCTCAGTTACACGGCTAGGGATAGGCACCTTTTTTATTTTTTACCATATTTCAATAATATAAACATGACTGTATAGCGGTCGCTTATAGTTTCCAAGATATTAATAAAAAATTAATAAAAAACGGCCTATCTCTAGCCGTGTAACTGAGGGGCTAGCTCTCCAAATACCCCGCACCGCGGTAGGAGAGGGCCAAGTCTGTTGTACTTAAGCTAAAGAATAAGAATTTCTCACAAAAGTGAAAGGAAAAGTGTGTATTTTATAGAACTGTCTTGAAAAATTATGTTACATTCATACAACTTTTTTTGTTAATAACTTTTTAACAAACAACGAGCGACGGCTAAAACGTTCAGATTTTTTAAATCATTGCGCTCGATAACGAATTAAACCGCGATAACGAAGGAAATCGCGGTGACAAATGAAATAGGCATGATTCATGATAAAAGAATTAGCCAAATCGGTTAAAAATGTTGTTGAAACATGTTGTTAAAGCAATATTTGTGTTATGTAGCAAAATAGATGACACTACTTGCGTAATATTACTTGCGTACTTTTATTTTTATTTTGTTTTATTGTTATATTAATGTAATATAGGATTAATTAATAATTAATTAATATTTTTTTATTGTTTATGACTGCATATCTTTGAAATACGATTTAAAAACTCAATGTACAATTTAAAGACCCGGTCTCCAATTTAAACAAAAATTCAATGTTTATTTTTGTAAAAATTATTTTTTTATATTACCAATAAAGTAGTGTTTGTTACTAATAAATAAATGTTCTAATTTTTTCAGTACTTTGTTGCAATTTCAGTCTTAAACCTTAAGGGATACGATATTCTACAGGCATATGTTAGAAAAAATAGTTAAAAACATAGATAGTTTACATATTTTTCAGGCTCTCCCATTTGATTATCACTGTTGGAATAATAACAAAGATATTTATCAAGATTGCAGCAAAAAATATCAAAATTCGGAAAAGTCCTTATTCTACATAATTAACCTCGTTTTTATTATTATGTACATAAATATTTAATTAAATGTGTTTTGTATGGAAATATTGACTGAAAATCTATTAAATAAGTTTTATTGCGGTTGTAACGTTTTGAAATAATGACTCGCGATTGGTTGAGCAAAATCCGCGATATGCTCATTCTGCTCCATGGGGATTAGGCGCTAATGTTTTAATGCTAAAAATGACGGATTTGTACATATATATTTCACATCCATTGTTTAATGGCATAGCGGTTATATTGTGCTGAATATTAATAAATTTAACCGACTGGATCGTTTGTTCTTCTTAATATGAGGTTATATGGGCCCATGTCTATTGTATAATAGAAGTATGCATATGTTACAGGTTGCTTTCCAACAAGAGACATAAGTCGATACAAGTATCATCCTATCTTTGTTACTCACTAAATGTGGAACAAAGATAGAATGATGTTTGTCGACTTGTGTCTCTTGTTGGAAAACAACCATAGTATATGTGATATGAACTATAAATTTTCAGTACTGAAAATAAATTTCGGAACTCAGCCATCGGCTGTGTTCCTTTTGGACGCTCACGCGCTGTAAGCGTTATTCTATCTCTATCGCTCATTAGATGCGGAAGAAAGATAGAGGGTGCGTTCGCTTTGAACGCTTACGCGCTTTAAGCGCTTATAAATATCGCTCACGTCGTTTACTTTGGCGCTATAAGCGCTTAGAAACTGCATATTGACGTCATGCGTGACGTCATAACTCGCGCTTACATTCACTTCTTCTATCGAGGTAGGGCAGTAAAAGCGTGAGCACTTATAAGCGCTTATTTTCCAAAGAGAACGATAAGTTAGATTGCGTCGATTTCATCGACGCAATCTAACCTCCAATATAAACCTTAAAGTGAAATAGTGTTTCAAAATGACTTCCAACGAGAGTAACAAAACCAGAGTAACTCTGCAAGATGTTACAAATAATAAAATGTATACACTTGTTGTTACATCAAATGAGGCAAAACGTGTAGAAACAAGTAAGTTTAGAACACCTCTCATAAAAATTTATTATTTTTGTTATTAAATCATATTTATTTTGAGTAATAAAGCACTGTCCAACAGTAATTTAAAAAAAAAATAAGTAATATTTCAGCAACACTAGTAATACATTTGATGAAAGAAACGGACTTTCTCACAAATTTATCTAAATCTTCATATTTTGTTGTATAAAACATGAATATTATATGAAAGTTAAAATCGTTGATCTTAAATAAAACAAAAGTTATAAAGTGAAAAATTATTAAAATGTGACTTAAATATTTCATCATTGTATAATGGTACAATCACTTCCATATAGTTTTTTAACCAAGGTATTGTTTTTTTTTTATTGATTCAATGATTACGGATAAATACTTTTCTAATTCTTCTTTATATAAGTTCGATTCTTCTTTATATTTGTTTCGTTATCATCAAAAACATCTAATGAAACTAATATTTGAGCAAATACACAAACAATTTCCTTATCTTTATCCTCCATTTTTACGTTCACAATTGCTTACAACAGCCAAAGGAAACGGTTTTGATCTTTTCGATGAGTACGCTTAGAAATCAAAGTAATCGGGCAAAAATAGCGCTCATAAGCTTGAGCGCTTTAAGTATGTGAGCGTCCAAACGAACGCACCCAGAGTGACGCTTATAAGCGCTTAAAGCGCGTGAGCGCCAAAAAGGAACGCAGCCATAGCCACAACCAATATATCGATATCAACGATTGCGATTCTCGAACTTGAATATTTTCGCGGTAACCACTAAGTTATGTGTGAGAGTAGCTTACAGTCCGGAGTGGTCGAAAGTAGTCGATATATATATTACAAATTTTTATAAAACAAGTACTTAAAGAATATATACTTGTGATCAAATAGACGTGAGTAGATGGGCGTGTGTATATCTCTCTGACTAAAGTTAACAAATAGAAGAATGATATGTGATATAGGAAAGACTACACAAAAAGTGTATCAATTTATTAGGCGTAGATAATAGATCAGTAATACAATTTAGTATCTATATCCAGTGTTTCATACTGAAATCCAGTTATTCATGAGTTTATATTTGACTATGCTGAATATCGTGTAGTTTTTCTCTTACTGGATGTTATGTGTAATTGTATTTTCAGAAGCATATAATGATATGTTTTTATCAGGTTTTACAAATGCTTTTACACAATGTGATTATATTCTGACAAAGCAGAATATTTTATAATACAAAAATAACGAAGACGGCTACTCTTGGAACATATGAATAATTTCTAGTAATTGGGAATACGGCACAATTTAAAATATTCACTTGAATATAAAGTATTATTTCCAGTATATAGGATATATTTTATAATAATAAAATGGGCCATCATAAATTAAAACAAAATAAAAGAAAGCAACAAGCTACACAAAATATTTCTAAATTAAAAGAATTTCGTGTCATATTATATGATATTGCTTTGTATCCAGCATTAATTCCATCTCAGTATAAACAATTATTCAAGCAGCAATTAAAACGGTTAAAAGATACATCATGTACACCTAAAAATCATAACATACAGTTATTAAAACAAAATGTACGAAATAACAGATATAGCAGATCTGTAAAAAAAGGTAGAGAGAAACATGAAAGAATTAAATCTAGATTATTTAGTAAAGATATAGAATCAATAAAAGAAACACAAAATAACAATGAATGTGATAAGATACTTCAATCAACACCTGGAAAACAATTGACAATTGGAAACAGATGGCAATTAATAATTGATGATGACTCTTCTACTATAGATGATTGCAGTCCTAAGAAGATAAGGTGAGTGATGCAGAAAATTCTGTAGAGAATAAACATATAAATATAATTATATAAATTTATAATATAATTATATAAATTTTTTTATTTTAAATCATTAATTATGCATATTATAGTTGCATACCAAAGAACACAGTATTAACGAATATTAAAGTTCCCAAATATGCTTTGAGATCAACTGCAAGCAGAAGAAGTACACTAAATACCAGTACAAGCATACTAAGTTCTGATAAATCGGATTTGACAGATGGTAATGTTATATATTTTAATATGTAAAAGTACTAAGAAGATAAATATGCAAAGCAGTATGCATATGATTGAGCAATATATAAAAGAAGTATTTCTTTTACATTCAACTTTATCATTTGTTAGCTTATATTTACTTTTGTTATTTTCTATATAATTTTCTAAAATTACAAGTTATGTTAATATATTTTTATATTTATTTTGATGTATACAGGATGTTCAGAAAAAGGTGGTACTTCTAAAGTTGTGAAGAAAGCTCGTGAAGGATGAATGTGCGTTTGCGTGTAAATACGTTTACATACTCGAAATAAACGGATTATTTATTATAGCAGAAAATGCTCTATAACTTGGACATAAATGGTTTTTGGAATACTGCTTATTAAGACTTTTTGGTTTGTTTTTGCGAGTACTACATATTCCTAAAGTTTGGTACCACTTTTTTTGAACACTCTGTATATATATATATTTTTTTTTTACTTAGCTTCATATAGTTTACATAGCTATGAAGAGAACCTGGTTTACATTTATATTCCTTAATTACATATATTCATCCATTCCTTATTTCTACCTGCATTTAGTTATTAATATCCTTATAGTTACAATATTCTACTTCTCTCTATTTGATTTTACAATATCATTCTCTTTACATAAATGCTCTTGCAATATCTATTTCTACAATCTTCTTTACATCTAATCTTTATGCTATTTATATCTTTTCTCTATCTGTTATGTTTAATTACATTTCCCTGTTTTACATTAACTGATACCATATTGTCCTTATGTATAATACTCCTAACTCTATGCGTGTGCTTTCCTTTATTTTTCTTCTTTCTATCCAATTTCTTTACTGCTAACTTTATTTTTTCTTCATTTTCCCTTCCATATCTTGTTAGTTTCCTTACTTCATTCTATTTTTTCTACTAATCCATGAAGTACTTCCTCTACTTTTTTCTTCTTTCTATATGTCTTCCTATGTCTTCTTCAGCCATGTATATGTGTGTATATATATGTTTTTTTTATATTAGATATATATTGTTGCATTCATGTTGAAACTATGATCTATATGAATTTATATATCATTCATATTAGATTGAATATTTAAAGATGCAAGTAATCTCACTATAACATTATGAAAAACGAATATCAATTCTTGTATTAATGAAATATATTTGCAACACAATCACTCAATTTACCAAAGTCCTTCTTCTGTTACTTTATATCGAATCTGGACTAAAACTACAATTTTAGTGTAGATGCAATACACACGTATGCATGATATATTTGTGTTTTCTTTTTTTCCACTTATTAATATATATGTAACAGGTACAAGTGTGGAATCAGCTGATGCGGATTCTGATAGTACAAATTATTTGGATAAGAAAAATTTAAATTTTATTAATTGTAATAGCGAGACCCAAGAGGTATCCAGTGATGAAATATCCATTGCAAGTACAAAGTACGATCGTAATTTAACTCCAGTTGATTTTGTTAATGAAACAAATCACAGAGTAAAACAAAAATATAATCAGAGCAAGAAAAGTACGTATATATGTATATCATTTATATAGCATTTATATTAATAATATTGTATTTATATCCTGCTATTATAAGTAAAAATAACATGACAAACTTTTAAGAGAACATTTCTTAATTTTTTAATCGAATTCTCAGGTTTAACTATTCCGAGTATAGAAAGTGAAATTTCTACAAAGTCGTTTAAGGATACTGAGGAAGATGAAGTATCTGAAAATTCATATTCTTCTGATATTCTATTAAATCATACATCTAATAATAAAGTAAATAGGAAAGAAAATCAGCATGATACAAGAACAAAGTTAAATAATTATAATGTAACGCCAGCAGTAGATTTAAAATTTACTGCTATAGTATCTGAAACAGCAGCTATTAATCATATTACTAAAGACAATTTTCCAAAAACGTATAATGAAAATAAGTCACAAACAATAAAGCAAACTCTACCAAAGATAACCCAAAACGCTTTTTTACCGAAAGGAACAGTAAAGCTTATAAGATTCGACGAGACATACAGTAACGCATGGAGGAATATTTCTAAGAACAATACTTTGATACAAAATAAGTGTACTGAAGAAGATAAAAATGTGAAACAAGTGCAAGACAAAAATATTCTTAAGAAAGAAGACAATATATTTTTTACAGAAATCGAAGTAAATAGTACTTCAAAAACATCAGAAAACATACTAATACAAAAAAATAGCATACAACAAGATATTTTAGATAATAATGATATTCACAATAAAATTCTTAATCATGAGACCCCAAGTTCTTTAGCAAAAAATGATATCCATAATAATATAAATATTAATAATTCTAGTATTGAAGTAGAGGATCGAAAACGTACTGCAGAAGAAAATAGTACAGATGTAAATACATGTGCTAAAAGAATTAAATTAAACAGGAATTTTCAACAAAGCGATATAGAATCGTATAATAAACCAGTGAACCAACAATTTAATAGTTTTATAAATACTATTACAGCGACTGAAAATGCAGAATATGATGAAATAGATTTACGTGTAATGTTAAATAAAAAAAGAACTGAGAATGTTTGCAAGTTGAAAACAACTGATAGTGATGAAACTATAAATACAATGTCTATGAAAGTAAATAATACAAATAGCGTAAAAAACATAGTAGAAAACGAGGGAACTTCCGAGAAATTCTCTCAGAAAGAAGCATCAACTTTAAATAAAGATTTATATAAAAAACAAAATAACGCACAAATAAGTTTACCCCATAGTAATAACTCGTATTCATTTGCTGATTTGTATGATGCTTCAGAAGAAACACATTGTAATAAAAAAGAAATAAATTATGAAAAAACAAATGCGCAAAAGAAGCATACAGACGTCGTAAGCAGTAACAATAATAACGATAATGAAGAAGACGATGACTGCATTTCTCTTTTCGCAAATGAAACATTTGATATAAGCTAGTAAGTAAATTTAGAAGAAATTTAGTTTGAAATTGAATTACATAATATGTTTCATATTATATCTGTAAAGAGGTCGCGAAATCAAATTAATATAATATAATATGTAAATATATATATATATATATATATATATATATATATATATATATATATATATATATATATATGTATGTATGTATGTATGTATGTATGTATGTATGTATATGTATGTATGTATATGTATATATATTAAATCAATACGTCGTAGAGAAGTGAAAAAATCCATATAAACCTGTTTAATAATGCTTTATTAAACAATTATAAGCGTTTAAAGATTTACTACTAAAATTATTCTTATACAACTTATTAGATGAAATTGCTTATTCAAATACTCGACTGATAACTGCGGAATTCTTTCCAATTTCTATTATATTAAAAATTGTAATAAATGCGTCCTCAAGGTTGGTTATGTGGTTCCGAATAAGAGATTCTTTCTGTTATAACAAGTTGTAAGAATATTTTTGCTGATAAATATTTAAATGTTTATAACTTTTTATTAAATCATTAACGGATAGGTTCATGGGAACTTTTTTCTGCTACTTGTCTCTATTAGTACGTTATTAAGACTCTTTGTATCTCGCCAGTCATGTCGGATTTATGACGTCAAAGACGAGGAATAATATGCTGACGAAAGTTGCATACTATTTCTAAATAAAAATAAATATGGACGAAAGAGCACTTGAGATTACTTGAACATACTTGTAAAATTGTTCGAAAGGTATCCCTTTCTCAATCAATACATAGTCATATAATAAATGATGAAATGAAACACGTCAAACGATGAAATGAGTCTGTTTTGTCTACATGCTTCATTTCACTATTTATTATAAGTATTTACTGATCGTCAGGGGAAAAGGATAGTTTTTGGAAAATTTTATAAGCGTGCTCAAGTGATCTCAAATGCTCTTTTGTCCGTTATTTTTATTTAGAAATAGCACACAACTTCGTCAGCAAGTTATTTTTCACTTCTGATGTTACAAATCCAATATGGCTGCGGCGAAGTACAAGGAACTTTAATACTACTTCATTAAGTAAGCTATTTTGATATCGACCTTTGGGAATATATCTTGCATAATATAAATTGTTTCACTTTTTCAACATCTAAATATTTGTCATTTTTGTAGCTGTGAAGATATATTTCCAGATAAAGAAGAGAAATTACCTAAACCTCTACAGTCTGATACACCGTATATAATGAGTACTAATAGTTTTAATATGTATTTAAAACAGAATAAAAACGAATTTAACCAAGAATACGAAAGATGTTTGAAAAATAATATAAAGAAGTCACAAATAGCACAGAATAGTACAAAAAACAGAACTGAAAAAATGAAAGTAATAGAAAGTTTGCCGGAAAAGTGTAATAAAAATGAGCTATTAACAGCAAAACAGACTATACCGAAGATAAATCAAAATGGTCTTTTGCTGAAGGAGACGGTACGCTATAAACTATTAGAACAAACGCAGAATAGAACTTTGCACACGGATAATCGATCTGCAAATTTGACATCATCTATGGTCCAAAATATACAAACCTTAAAGAACTGCGATATAAAACATTTTTTCAATGGATTTTGTTTTAGTACATTGATGCATTCCACATGTAAATGGCAACATGTATGTACTTATAAGCACAATGTAAGTATATTTATATATTTATTAAATTTTTATTATATTAATATTTATGAAATTTTTTTATTGCGCTTCTCCTACGTGTTGTAATATAATATTATTTTTAGTTTCAGAAGCTTATTAATACATTTTATGCTGAAGATCCCAGTAAGATAATGGATGTAATAAAGTTTACTATAGATAGGAGATTTTATTTTTTCTGTCAAGAATTCTATCAAAAGTGCTTAAAAAAATTAAAAATCAGTGAGATTTTAACAGTATATAGTAAGTTTTATGATATTTGTAAGTTGTCAAAAGATATTACTCACAATATTATCAAGGAATTATTAAGCAGAGAAGTACCATTAAAAAATATTGTGGACTGTATCGTAGAATCCATTAATTCATCCATTATAACCGATGTAACTAAAAACAACGAGATATTGGAATGTATAAAACATTTTATAAAACCTGGCGAATATTGGTATATTGCAAGAAGCATGATATTAATGCTTACACCAGACAAGTATATTGTTGAAAGTATATTACGCGATTGCAAACGGCATAAAAAATTATCTGATGTTCAAGATATTAACAGTATGTTAATAAATAAACTTCATCCTGGCATAATATCACAGTTGGATAAAAACTTGATGATGCATTTTAAGAGTTTGTTGAATGGAGAAGCTGCAAAAGATATTTATAATGTAGAGTCAGTTCAGGATTTTGGAGAGAGTTTGGTGGAAGTGGACACGATTGCTTCTCCCGATTCAAAACAAATAGATTCACCGGAAAGTTATAATAACGCTGTTACTGATGGGAGTCAGTCTATTACCAAGAGACGGGAAATAAATGCAATAAGTACCAGATCTTATATACTGCATTCTATCGGTAATTATTTTTACTCTATTTTCCATTGTATTTTAATTAAAATTCTTATTCTATTATTATATTTTAATTGTTGGCATATCGTGAAAATTATATGTTCATTTTTGTTACGATGTTTTTAATCTAATGTCACTAATATATATATATATTTTTTGCACACGCATATATATGTTATAGATAATTTGCCGGAAGCACAGTCTGTCTATAGAAATCATAAACATCTATGGAAATTCTACACGGACTTAGAAAGACTTAAAAAGGGACTTGAACATGAAGATTATAATTATGTTATTGATATTTTAGAAGAATATGCAGGAAAGCAAGATAGCAACTTGTTTGTTCGTGCATGTTGCAACATGCTTCGGACAGAAATAAAACGTACAGATCATCACTTAATAAATATAATAGAACGGACAGGTAAAAAATATTTTATATATGAAAATAATAGTATAGGTTATATTAAATAATACAGATTATATTATAATATATCACTGTTATAGTATTTTATATGTAGCTTACTGTGTTAAAATCTTTATCATAATCTTATTACATTTTGTGATGTGATCAGGTAACTATGATAAAAAGAAAGATATTATAGTTATACTTTTTTTATTTTTTATTTAGTAAAACTTTCATTATTTTACTTAATAAAACTTTCATTCTAACATGTTTATTCTGCATATAATATATAGAAAAAAAAATATATAAAATATATAAATGTAGACATTTTTTTTATATATCTTGTTGGTACAAACATTCTATATATTTTCTTTATTTTTTATTTAGTAAAACTTTTATTATTTTATTTAATAAAACTTTCATTCCAACATGTTTATTCTACATACAATATATAAAAAAAAAATATATATAAAATGTTGACATTTTTTAAAATATCTTGTTGGTACATTCTACATATTTTCTGTATTATGTTGTAAAGTACTAATATAATAAATAAATAGTTAATAAACGTTTTGTATAAACTGTGTATGTGTTTTTTTTTATCAAATTTACCTAATTCTCGTTTTGGACATTTCAGTCCAAACCGGTTCCTTTGCTGTTCTGCGTAGAATGTTATTTGACATAGGAATAGACATATTGGTTGCTTTAATGGACGAAGAAGCCTGGAGACTTGCATTTCACTTTGTTACATTACTTAAAACTTGTGATTTGCCATCAAGCGCGGAGTTTACTATGTTATCGGCTGAGATTTACTTAGCTAACAAAAAAACTTTAGAAGCATTTGATTTAATTAAAAGTGAGTTAATTTTATAAATTTCTATAATAAAAGAAAAGAAGTAACTGTAAATATGAAAATATTTATTAGATATAAATTTTATTAACTATATAGACTTTTACACATTAAAAGCGTAAATACTTTTCAATGAATTTTATTTTGATTGTTTCGTTAAGATAGTACTAATTACAAAGAAAAAGAAAATCTACATATGTATACAATAATATATAGATAAGTATTAATATATCTTTTTGAGCTTGTCAATATTTATTTCACGTTGATATCATAAGAATTCTTAATTATTTATATTTCTATATTAATTTTTTCAGACAGTAACATTATATGCACGAATCGTGCTAAGTGGCGTGTTAGGAGCACTATTCACGATGAATACGTGAGAAACAAACTAATCTACATCTTATTGGATTCACTTTGTAATAATTTAATCGAATATGCCTTCTTTCTCTTTACATTTTTACTTAGAGATCAATCCAGCCAGTTTTACCCGATAGGTAAAGTGGGAAATGTTCATTATATGTACATTCTCATCATCTGTTATCTTTATTTACATCGTATATATTGACTGTATAACTTATACCGCATACCATATAACTGTACGTATAACTACACAATTTTTATAATAATGCATAGTCTTACTGTTTTTAGATTTGTCTTGTTACGTGGACAAGTTAACAGTGCTACTTTTATCAAGAAACAAGATGGCTTCGATCATAGAAATGGGAAACTTGATACTTAAATATAATTTTCAATTGAATACAAAAGCGTATCGTGCATTAATTGCAACGTTAATTCATGGAAACGAAAAATTAGCCATACAATTGTACAATTATGCAGAAGGCATAGGTCTCTATTCGACAATAGAGGTAAAAATATTTGACTTTTAATTCATATGTGAGGTAAAACTCATGCAACAGAAATAACTATATTTTTTCAAATAATTTATATAAATATTTATATATTTCTCTTTATGTGTGTGTACGTGCAGAATACTTATATATTCTATGTTATAATCTATTTATATATTATCTATATACTTTTCTCTTTTAATAATTTAACATTTAGTAAGTAATGTTTCATAAAATTAAGATATATACTTATTATATATGTCCGACATAGCTGTGGCCAGTAACGCACATTATTATAAAAAATGACTTAACAGAAGAAGAAGTATATCTTGCAATTCTACAATTACTTGAGAAGCTCAAAATAAATTTTGGACATACGATCGAGTTTATTAAATCAAATATTGTAGTATATATTATCTTAGAGGTAAGTATTTGATAAAACAAAAATGATTACGTTCAAAATAATATGTTTAGTAAAAAACTATTGATTATTGAATTTAATTAGTATATCTTTGGGTATATTTTTAGTTATAAAAGTTATACATTACCTCTAATGATCAAATGTTTCGTATTGTTGAATGCAAAAGATTTTACTTATTTTTAAAAGCAAAATTTAATATAATATGTTTCATATGCTAGACATTCGTAAAAAATAATAGTTTAATAGGCTTTATTAATAGGTTATATTGATTGTCTATGTTGATTTTGTAATTACATTTTTTTTTATATTGTCTCATGTACCTTCATTAATTTACAGGTGAAATCGGAAAAACAGTTTTATTGTGCCGCAGAACAATCTTTTTATAATAGACAAGCGATTGCAAATATGAAGTCATTGGTGAGGAATGTTTTGAAAACTCGATTTGATCCACCAATATCATTAATAGCACGTGTTAAAGAAAAAATATGTAAGCTACAAAAAAAAAGTCTTATAAATTATCTTAGGTCAGAACATTGCAATTGATAAGGTTGCAATTATTATTCTTGAGCAAGAAAGATAAGTAACTTGACTAGACTAAAAAAGGAATTAATAACCACTTTAAATATTATGTTATATATAAGATATTGTTTTAGAATTGTTTCAATATAATTTTTTAGTTAGTATATAGAGAAAATATTACTTTGTTTTACATATTCGACAATTTCATGTTTTTGTTGTTTTATACATATATTGGACACATTATTGAATATATTTCATATTTTATACAAGATTAGAATTAAAGATAGTTACAATTGAAAACATTTTTAATTACAAAATTTAAAGTGTGTGTGTGTGTGTGTGTGTGTGTGTGTGTGTGTGTGTGTGTGTGTGTGTGTGTATTCCATGTGTGTATATATACACACTGTTCCCGTCGGAACGTATACGTCCACACGGAGCGGGTACGGTCGGGTCCCAGGCGCCGCTCGACTCGCTGTCGCCGGCCTCCCGCCGCCAGTTCGCACCGTCACCGCGACGCGGCGACGGCGTCAGCTTGAGCCATTGCTCGCGATTAAATTTCGCTTAGGCGCCTAAATAAGGCGCCGCGCGAGACCACTCGAAGCCTCTTGACTGCGGTAGCCCATCAGGTCACTGCCTCGTTGAGGTATTCTTTTGAACTCTACCTAGCTGACCTTCTTGAGTGCACGTGCACGTCTTTGCCTTACGAGAGCTATTCTTTTGCTTTTTCTGCATTTATTCTCCGTTGTCTTTAAAGTGTCTGCGACCGTTGGCTTTTCGGTACGAAGTATATAGAGGTAACTCCACGGATCTCTACCTTCTCAATACGACGACGATAGAGAGAAGGCTTCGCGCGACCATTCGGATTACCTCGGAGCCTCTACTGCGGTGAACGCTTTCCGTTGCGATAGCACAAGTATCGCAGATCTCGTGTATCGGTTTGACAGAACACGGTACTGTCGGGCTCACGACTCCGCGCGAATTGTAGGTGTCTTCCAGAATTCTGCTGCCAGGGGCACGAGTGTATGAAGTTGGCACCCCACTTTTTGAAATTTATAATTTTGAAAGTTATTGCAGATTGTTCTGACTTTGTACCATATTGTTTCAAAGTGATATTGCTTCATTCGAAACGGTTTTCGAATAAAACAAAAAAAAATGATTTTTTGAGCTGGCACCCCACTTTTCGAAAATCGAACATTCTGATACCGCAATAGATTGTTCTAGTTGTTCCAAAAGGACAAATCCATAAGTTGAATTATAAGTCCAAAAAATGAAAATGTTTTTGATCTGGTACCCCATTTTTTGAAAATAAAACATTCCGATACCGATATAGATTGTTCTAGTTGTTCCAAACATTATTCCAAAAGCACAAATCAATAAGTTTAATTATAAGCCCGAAAAATTAAAAAAAAGTTTTTTGACAGTCTATCGGACCAAGAGTAAACTTATACTATCTTTCTTGTTCCAACCGAGATCTTTTTGTTCTGAGTTGTTCTAGGCTTAAGAATTATAGTTCTAGAGTATGAGACTCATAAGATCATTCGTTCTCCGAAAATTCGTAAAAAAATCGATTTGACAGTACTCGACGTCAAGAGTAAACACATGCTTCCTTTCTTGTTCCAACCGAGATCTTTTTGTTCTGAGTTGTGCTAGGCTTAAGAATTATAGTTTTAGAGTATGAGACTCGTAGCGTCATCCGTTCTCCGAAAATTCGAAAAAAAATCGATTTTTTTTTCGAATTCGGAACAACTAGAACAATCTATTGTGGTATCAGAATGTTCGATTTTCGAAAAGTGGGGTGCCAGCTCAAAAAATCATTTTTTTGTTTTATTCGAAAACCGTTTCGAATGAAGCAATATCACTTTGGAACAATGTGGTACAAAGTCAGAAGAATCTGGGACAACTTTCAAAATTATAAATTTCAAAAAGTGGGGTACCAACTTCATACACTCCAGGGGCGCAGCACTTACGCGAACCAAGTTCGCAGATAAGTCGACTTCAGACTTTATACATCGTCGCATCCGCGACTCAACACGCGAGGGATACTCGCTTTTAAGTCTCAGCGAGACTTAGTATTGGTCGCACCCACGGCATTATCGACGTGAACCACGCTCACTTATAAGTCGACGCGAGACTTATATGCCGTCGCATACGCGACTCAACACGCGAGTTACATTCGCGTTTAAGTCCCTACGAGACTTAGGCTTCGCCGCGTGCGCGACTATTCAAGGCGAGTTCAGCTCACCTGTATATCATTTCAGATTCAGCCTCTGTTGCTCCCACGCCACACAGAGCTGAATCTCACTCGGACTTGACTCCGACGTTCACGAGAGGAAAGACGGGTCACTGTCTCCGTATTCTGAGTGAATACCTTCCTCCGGAAGGGGGGATTTTCTTCCCAGCGCGGAGGCGCCGCCGGACAACTATACGCGTGTCCTCAGCAGAACCACGCCGTGCTTGCACATTTAAGCACACTCGCACTTTCCTCACACCATCTTACGAGGCTCTTGGATAGGAGAGCACAACCTTATACTCGCGCATCCAGACGTAGCAGTCGACGGTAGTTCGACGGCATTATGAACTAGTTGCTCACCAACCCGGGCTGTTCGAAACACACACATATATATGATATTTTGTATTAAAGTTTGCATTATATTTTTATATTTTACTTATTTTGTCATAGTAACTTTTATAAAATATTTTGTTTATAATATACGTTCATACCGAATTACATCAAATTTTGTGTTGTGTGTGATTGATTTATGTCATAGAGATACATTTCTATTAATTTTTATTTTTCTCTTTTATATACATACTTTTTCATATAAATTTTTGCAACTTTATTAGCTAATGTATCATACAGAAATGTAAATATATTTCAATGTCATATTAAACAATGTTATTTGATTAAAAAATAAACTTAACTTTAACTTTGATTAAAAAATGTAATCATTTCACTTCATAAAAAAATGTATGAAATATAATCAATTAACACAATACATAATCAATTAACACAAGTGCTTAATTGAAAAGATGTAAGAATTTTAAATAAAATTTTTATACACATGATAATTTGTACTGACTACATATCTAGGTTAAAGATTAAATTGTAAACACATAAATATAATTTCAAATTTTCATATGTTAATAACATAACATATTCAATATTCAATGATATACTCAATAATTACTATAATATTACTATAAATATACAATCACAGAGTTGTTTGTAAGTACACACGCAATTCTATTTTTGGAATATTTTCATCATATTTCTAATAATCATTAAATAATTATTCTAGATTCCTAATACTTGTACGTAAAATGTAGGAAAACAATCTCTTGCAAAGAAATAAAATAGTAATTAATAAGTGTTGCTAAGAAATAAATGTCACTGTTTTAATGATAAAAAAGATATCAATGTATACAAGTTTTTATATCGTCAAACCATTTGAGAAAAATTTTGTAAAACATTCACACTATTACACTATTGTTATAGACTTTGTAAGATGCTTTTGTAAAAGAATTTATATTGCTGTAACATAAATATTTTGATATCAAAATATAAGATTGTGTGTATGAGAAGTGTGTAATCTCTTTCATACTCCTAATTAATTTTATATGCTGCACAAATAAAAAATATTTCATCCAATTTGAGTCAAATTAGATTAATAAATAAATACTATGTGCATATATATATAAACATTCAATCAAATTCAGGTATGTCATCAAAAGAATAACCAGGTACTTTCTGATACGCTAAAATAGCTACCCTCATATGATAAGCCCCTGGTATAAACATCAAGGCCCCTAAAATGATCACTGGCCACATTCGATCTGAATACTGCAAATATAAACAGGATGTTCTTACTATACATAAATTTAGCAAGTAGTATAATATATAAATTTAGTAAGTAGTATAATAATAAGGTAATGTATTCCCATGCCTTTCTACCTGCTTGTGAAACAAGCAATAATCACTTTGTATTTGTTGAAAATTACATGCTGGAAATTCTTATTGCACAATTGTAGCATTATATAATTGAGCAAGACAATAAATAAAATCTTACTTTCGAATCAATGTGACCGCTCACAATCAAGCTTCCCATAATGAGCATAATAGTTCCTCCAACAAACAGAAGAGCCGCTAATGTGATAGCTTTCCATGGAATTTTCACAGGTGGGCTTACAAACTGGCAAGAAAAAATGTTATTCTTGATACAGAAAAATTGATATTGAAACATGTGTGTGGATGAACAAATTGACTAATATATCTTGTATAATAACTTGTTTCTTAGCTTGAATGAGATCGTATTGCTCTGCATTTACCTGTGAATCGAAGAAACCATTATCGGTTTCTGTTAATTGTGTATAATCCACGTTGTCGAATTGTCTGTCACTTCGAACTTTCTTCCTGCACATACTCGCCTTATGAATATAGTCTGGAAGAAGAACAATACAGTATTATTAACTATCACTTTCATGTCATATTAATTTTATTTTAAAACATGCTTTGCTTTTTGACAGTTTGTCTGCAACAGTTTTATCATCCGTCCTCAACACGCTGATTTGTCCCGAAAATGCGCGCAAAATTACCGTGACATTTCTGGCAAAATCTCGTTTTAGAATTCTGATCGTGCTTCGCGCGCAAACAGTTTGGCTCATTTACGGTGGTCGGTACGCATGAATAGAGTACGTCCTGCGCACTCAAACAATAACAACAATTGGTATCTCTATCCATTCTTCTCTATTCAATGAATCTAGTATGTACTTGCACGTTCCACTTGTAATTACGTTTCCAGGCAATTTAATACGCTCTAACTGTTAGATCAATGATATTGATATCACTCAAACAACACTTCGCAACTCGTTCATTTCAACGAAATTCAAAATCGACCCATCACACAAAGTTTTCCATACAGAGTATATAAATATTGGATACAAAATTTAAAAGTGTCGTCTTCAGTACAGACATAAAGCTCTACGGAGTCAACGATAATTTGCACGAGATGAGGTGCAATCGATCGCGCAAGTCTGTAAATCGTCAATAGTTCTGTGAAGCTCGACAGAATAATCGCTTAAGAGATCAATCGTCTATGATGATCAAATGTGTACAAATACATGTGTGTACGACACGTTATCGAAAAGTAAGAGTGCATCACGGTCATGATACATCGTCTCTTTTACTCCCTTTTCCTAACTAATTCTCCTCTCTTCTTTTTTCTACCGAGTCTCAAATATATACCTGTTTCTTTTTCAGTTTTATAAATGCACATTAATTCAGTGACAAAAAAATTGTTTCGTATTGGAACGGTGTCCAAGATTTTCCTATTCGTTTATCTTATCTTACGCATCGTCGAGTAAATAATAAATGTTTTTACCATCGAATTATCTCGTCGTGATCGAATTGCACGAAGAACATGTTCGTGGCTCGTGCGCTAAATCGCAATACACTACGTCGTATGGAATATTTATGTCAAACAAGTGGCACGGAGTGACTTAACAACAGAAAGATCGATCGCTACGACCTAAATGCAACTACAAAATACATATAGTGATAACGTAAGCGCATCGAACACTTCGGAATATAATCGAAAACAATGGATCACGAGGAAACACCGGACACGTTCTCGTGCGTCATGAGCTGAAACTTGACGTAGCAGCACTTGTCAGCTGGTCGGAAAATTACGATTGTCGAATTCATTGCTGGCTCGCATTATCGAATAAAAAAAAATGCGATCCATTACACACTGCAAATGTTTTAAAGCGACATGTAGACCAATCATGGCTTTCTTTTAAGCGCTTCATAGCGTTTGCAGCGCCTAATGGATCGCTTCGTCTACAAGAGGTATCGTAAGTCTTAAGAATTAGCCAATCATAGTCGAGTATTACTAGAATATCGGCCATGATTGCCCGACTCTTATGATACCTATTGTAGACTATGGGTGGGACCCGATTGACCACGATACGATTGGACACAGATTGTAATGATTGGTTCGACCTAGTAATTCACTAGATAATTCTTTTCATCGGTTGGTTGTGTCCAATCGTACTGTGGTCAATCGGAACGCTCCCGTAGACTATTAGTCTATTCTTTTCATGCCCGTTTCTACCAACTTTCGTTAATTTAACCGGCTGGTTATTTCAACAGAATTGATCAATCAAATTTTTCGTTAGTCAGAACTGACAAATGCGATTGGTCAATTTCGTTGGAATAACCAGCCGGTTAAATTAACTAAAGTTAGAAACGAGCATCAGTTGCACTGCCGAACTGGTTCAATAAGTTAAAGTGAGATAAGTATATTTTTTCTCACTCTTATTGCGGCTGCGTTTGGAAACGTCACTCGAGTACTCTTCCTCTCTTTTTATCTCACTCTTGTATCTCGCTTACTCCAACGTAACGGGTACACTTGGGTGACGTTTCCGAACGCAGCCGGCACCAGTTTAGCAGTGCAACTGAAAAGAACAGACCACATGTCTCATAGGTAGAGAGAGACAAACTCGATTTTTCAAGCGTTTGTGAACTCATATATCTTGCCCAATGGGAACATTCTCTCATTGAAAACGGATTCTTCCATTGAACAAGACGGAGGAGTTCACAAACTCACTCAAATAATTACGGATGACCTTTCTGTATGAATGCAGATATACGTAGAGGAATAGATAGGAATAGTTTGTTCTTACTGTAACAATTGGGTCTATGTTAATATATTGTTAAACTTAGTTTATCAGAGAAAAGATATGTACTTGCATTTGACACTTATGCCCGTATTCATAGGGTGCGTTCCGTTTCCACGCAAGATGCGCATGAAACGCAGCGTTAGAGTGACAGAGATACGAGAGTGAGATAAAAAGAGAGGGAGAGCACTCGGGTGAGCTTGTGAATCTAGGTTAGGTTAGTTCTCGAACGCATGAGATCGCATGGACTGCACTACCTCGGAGCTGAGGCAGTTCATGCGTTCGAGAACTAACTTAACCTAGGTTCGAGAACCTCACCCGAGTGCTCTCCCTCTCATTTTATCTTACTTTCATATCTCTGTCACTCTAACGCTGCGCTTCATGCGCATTATGCGTGGAAACGGAACGCACCCATAGTCAGGCCTTATGGCTCCTGCACACAGGACGCGGTAATGCTTGCAGCAGTGGAAGTTCGCGCGACAGCCAATCAATATGCTGCTTTCCGTAATAATCTTTTAGCTCTTACGGAAAAACAACATATTGATTGGCTGTCGCGCGGACTTCCGCCGCGCGACAAGCATTACCGCGTCCTGTGTGCAGAAGCCATTACATTTAAGGCTTTCTTAAGTTCATCTTCAGATGTTCTGTAGCCAATAAAATAATCTGTAGAACATCTGAAGATGAATTTAAGGCCTTAAATATAAGGCCTGATTATAAATACAGGCATTAAACACTTTTCTGGGTACCTATTATGAACTTTTTTGGAATCAATTCCGATCGGAATAATTCCGTTTCCCCTAGAAAAGATAATAGAAATCTAGGAAATAACTGAACTTTTCCGATCGGAATTGATTCCGAAAAGTTCCATAATACGTGCCTTGGGCTCTTATTCTTGAAATAGTTGCGTATACGTAAGTTTTACTGCGCAGTTATTTTATGGTATGATTAAATCTGCGCAATAAAACTTACGTATATGCAACTATTTCAAGAATAAGGGCCCTGGGCTCCCCTATTCTTGAAATTTTTGGGTATACGTAATTTTCATTGCGCAGCTATTTTATGGTATGATTAAGCTTGCGCAGTAAAACTTACGTATACGCAACTATTTCAAGAATAAGGGCCCTGGGCTCCCCTATTCTTGAAATTTTTGGGTATACGTAATTTTCATTGCGCAGCTATTTTATGGTATGATTAAGCTTGCGCAGTAAAACTTACGTATACGCAACTATTTCAAGAATAAGCTGCAATCTCATAGTATGTATTTTCCGCGTATCGCGTAACCAATAGATTTCGACGTTTAGAATTTCTGTTGGAACTTCTAAAAGAATAGAAAGATGTGATTGGTTACGCGGTTTTGCGTTACGTGAAAATACGTGCCATGGGACTTCAGTCTAAGGGTGGAGTCCTATGGCACGTATTTACGCGTAACCGTGTAACCAATCACATTTTTCTATTTTTTTATAAGTTCCAACAGAAATACTAAACGTCGCAATTTATTGGTTACGCGGTACGCGGAAAATACATGCCATGGGACTTCAGCCTAAGAGCGTTGGAAGAGTACCTATTATGAACTTCTTCGGAATCAATTCCGATCGGAAACATTCGGTTATTTCCTAGATTTCTACTGTCTTTTCTAGAGGTAACGGAATTATTCCGATCGGAATTGATTCCGAAGAAGTCCATAATAGGTACCCTGATTTGTGGCGTAACTAGCCTTATCTGTAACCTAGCTTTTCTTACTTATTCTTATATCCATAAGTACTTTCCAATATCCATTGCCAATACTCAAAATCTATAGTTCATGTCACGTATACTATGGATTTTCAGTACTGATAGTGAATATCGAGACACAACCTGTATCCACGCTCTGACATCCGGAACCAATTAAAGATCGAGTTTGTCTCTACGAGATTCTTTATGGCTAAGTTCGTCTTGCACGCTTTCATGTTGAAAATATCATTTTATCTTTATCGCTCATTATGGACGCGGTCCAACAATCGCTACAAATGCTGCGCAGCGTTTCTCCCTCTTGTTCTATTCCTCGGATTCGAATGAAGAAAAAGAAAGAAGTAAAAACACTACAAAGCATTTGCAGCGTCCGCTGGACCGTATCCTATATACCGAAGGAAAATAGAATGATGCTTTCAGCATGAGAAAACGTGCAAGATGAACTTATATCGAACAAAATTGCGCATCAGCGATAAAATAGATGGCACATAGAAAAACGTAAATAGTAAACTTAAGCGATAAGAATAATTGGCCAATCATAGTCGATGATTCTTCTTACGGTTCAAGAATAATCGATTGTAATTGGCCAATTTTCTTAATTGCTTAAGTTTTATTGTTCACACTTTTTCGTGTGTTACGGCCCTACGTCGTTACTCGCTGAGCCGCTGCAAGATGACGCCACAGTGTCGGATGATCGTCGCTGCCATCTGTGACGCCGTGAAGGAAACTAAGCAAAATCAAGCGCAAACGGTAGACGAAAGGACGAGTGCCGGAATTTCAGTGTTTCTTTCGAAAAAAGGAACGATAAATCCGACGATACGAGTGCCGGTAGGAAGGTCGTCGTACGCAGGTATATATTTATCACTTGATTTGCGTTGTCACCGAGTGATTAATACCGAAATCGTAAACTTGTCGCGCTGCCAAATGCAATTAACGCGCATGTGTGACGCCGCTCGTGTAGAAACACGGATATACTTTTCTTGATACACGGTGGAGGATCGTGCTGCTCTCTAAACATGACGATTTTGAAATTCCCCGCGAAGCCCGTCCCTGGCGAAGAAGACACACTCTCTTTAAGTCTAATAACACTCTCATTACACTCTTCCGGATTTATAGAGAGGAGTGTATTGAGATGAGTATATACCGAGAATGTGCGCTTTTCGCCAGGCGATTTACCTACCGCGCCGCCATACTATTATCACTGTTGATTCACCGTGCATTTATGTTTCCCTACTTTCACGTTTAGAACAATCGCTCTCGCTCGTTAGATTTCGTGCGAGACCTTGACAGGTGGCGTAATTTTGACGCATAATTTTCGCACGCGACGCGGTTGTACGCGAAAGTCACATAACACGTCAACATAGCACTCGGCAATATCAATTGCGAATCCGTTTGTACGACAACTTCTTTGGCAGGCAGCCACCGGCGACCTGGATGATCAGAGGACGCACGGCCGGCGATGGCGAACTAAAGTTCAAGGATGCAACCACCACGTCGGACATGAGAATGCAAGCGACACCGCGAGGACTGCGACTGTGAGTCCGAATGGAAGCTCGCGATCTTGTCTTCGCGGGAAGGCAGCGAGTATCGATCGATCGTAAATATCAGCCGAATTACGTTCACGATAGCGTTGCAACGACGTTACGGAAGCTCTCGGTCACTCGAGCGTCGCATTAAATGTCACGGTCAAGTGTCATGCTGGATTCGGACGTGAGTGCTCGGCACACGGGGTATCACTCACTGACAGACTGGCAGGTGGACAGATAACAGACAGATAGACAGACAGACGGACGAGTCCCGGGAGTCAGAGAGAGTCGTCGAGTAGACCGCTCAAAGGATCACCCCGGCTCGGTTGCGCGGCTTGCTCCCTACCGAGTACAGATCCTTGGTATCCTGGCATAGCGATCGACGTAGCACGCGCCGCACTCGATGCTCGTTGACATAGCAAACTCTAGCCTTGAGACTTCTTCTTGGTGATTTCGCTCGTCCTCTTGGTCGGTCGTTTGGTCGTCCGTCCGTCCGTTTGTCTGTTCGTTCGTTCGTCGTCGGATCGATCTGGCAGAGTAGCCTCTCGCAGGAGGCTGTGCGCTTTCCCCGCGACGCTTACGACACAGTGTGCTCGTCGGGAGGGTCGCGGGAGACACGAGGGGGCACAGGGAGAGGGAGGGCGAGCGAGGGTGGATCGCGTTCCGCGATGCGCAGTAAACGCCGGGCACGTACGTGCCAGAACGAAAAGAGCACCCGGCGAAAGCAAACGGAGAGTGATCGTAATTGAACCTCCGTCTCAATCATACGCTAATAGCGCTCGGATATCCATCCAAATTGTCTGTGGACCATTGGCGTCGCTTCCGCGAGTTTATTTCGGTGCCGCTACTTGAATCCACTCCTATCCGCTGGATTGTAATGAGAATTCGGACTTTAAGAAATAAGACATGCGCGGAGTAGATGAATAAGACGCCCTCGCGATCGTGCGGCGCGTGAGATGCAATTTAGACGTATAGAACGGATCGTCTCAAGGAGAGAGAACCTCGTGCAAAATTATAGACTCGGTCCACCTTCGTTACGAACATCACGTATCTCCGATTAAAAAGCACGTAGACAAATATTCCGGTCCGAAAAGAAAAAAAAATAAAGAGCACAGAGAGAAAAGAGAAGCGAGACACGCGCTGCGGCCGCGCAATCTTCTCCATCGTTCTCCGCACCACCGCCAGATCACGAAAGCACGAGAACGAGAACGATGTTTTCAAGACTTCAACGTTTCGTGACTTCTCGCCGTAAGGCGAATTTCTTCCGGCCATATTTTGCGTAATAACAGTGTTCGTAACACGGCCTCACGTGCATAAAGCGCGTTGTCTTTCGTACGCTTATAAGCTCGTCTGCGATACGAGCTAGAAGTAATCTTGACGCATACGTCGAAATAAGAAATAAAACTAATTTATTGCTCATTGGCCTTGCACCCTAGCCTTCTTACACCGGGAGTATTTCTTTTACTTAAAAGAAATACTCCCGATGCAGGGGAATTGGAGTAGTGGCGCGTAGGCGGAATATAAATTGGTTTTATTTCTTCAATTTACGCCAAAGCTCACTGCTAGCCTTATTTTAGTAAGTTACTATTAGTAAGTTGCGATAGTACGTTGCGATAGTAAGTTGCGATAATACGCCGAGGGGAACAGGATAGGGGAGGGGAAAGACGGGGTAGATAGTTGTAGCTGAGGGTAAAAAAAACTATAGTAAGGAGGAACAATGAGCGCAGATAATGGACTGGATTGATGAATATACTCGCGTTTTGACGTTAACTCGAGATCTCGAATCTCCACTAACATACACGCGTGAGATAACGATAGAGAGAAAGAGAGAGAGAGAGAGAGAGAATAATAAAATATATCACACATGCGCAGCTCGTTGTCCTCGTATCACAAGTAAACTCGCGTTTACGAGTCGCTGTTTTTACGACATTTACGAATTACCGTCGCTTCATACCGCGACAACAAAGATTGCACACTCAAAAGAATGTTTTGCTGGTCCAGGTGGAATCCTAAATGTCAAGTTAAAATTATTATTCAAATGTCAGTTAAAATTTATCGCTGGTTTTTTTATCCGCTACAAAATTGTCTGTGGTACGTAGAATTTACAGCGGAGCGGCATTCCAGCAATACTTGCAGGCAAATTTGGGTCCCGTTATCAATTATTAATCTGGCCTTAATCTAGATGGGCGCCACAGAGAGACTTTCCAGCTAAATTTCACAAATAGTTTAGATAAGAATTCTGTCTCTGTCATCTATGTTAATTAAATACAAAACATACGCGATATTGCAGTGTTTGCTAGTCATTTATTTTATTTTAGAAAGCTAATTTCTCATATCTAAATAATTTTTGATTATGAAAATATAAATATTTTCAGAGTTAGAAAAGTTACTATTTAAAAGTAACTAGTTACAGTTACAATTCCCTTTGCTGAAAATGTAACTAGTTACAGTTACAAGTTATTGGCTATGAAAAGTAGCTCGTTACAGTTACATTTACTCAAAAAGTAACAGGTAGTTACTTTTAAGTTACTTTCTCGAAATAATTGTAAATTATTATTGTAAATACAAAAATCTTACATTTTAAGCTTTACTAAAATATGAGAATTGAATTTTATAATTAATATGTATCACATTAATTAGTCAACCTACTTAACAAATTTCAAATCTGTACTTAATATAATAAAAATTTAATGATAGCCTTATAGAGGTAAAAGAATTTAATCACATGCTCCATACATACGTTGATAAATTTCCCAGATAGCATAGATAATTTAAATAGAATTTAAAGAGAATTTAAAGAGAATTCAGTCGTAAGTCACTAATTCTAAGTTCATTTTTAAATGCATACAGAATTCCTTGAAGTAAACTCTGAACAATTTTTGCATCTGAAAATGAACTCAAAATTGATGACATACGACTACATTCTTTTTTAATTATTTTTTAATTCTCTATGCTATTTGGGTTATTAAATCAATATACGACTCAGATAGCACAGAGAGTTAAAAAAGAATTCAGTCGTATGTTACCAATTTTGAGTTCATTTTTAGATACAAAAAAAATTCTTTTCACTGAACTGAATTTTGAAGAATTCTTTTTGCATCTGAAAATGAATTCAGAATTGGTGACATACGACTGAATTTTTTTTTAACTCTCTGTGCTTTCTGGGGATTACTATATAATTTTTATTTTATTTTACGTTCTCCAAGTAACTATTAAAATAAAACTGTAACTGTTAAAAAAGTTATATATTTCTCGTATATAGATAATTTTCGCTATGACTGCAAGATCATTTTTTTGAGTGCATGAGAACACGAGCAACGAAGTGTCCGACATAAAACGCTACATCATTCCGCAGGCTTTACGCCAAGTGTTCCGTCAGACGCGAGATTTACGCGCGCTATTTCCGTCTTTGTGTGAATTTTCGTGCGATATTCTCTAGTGGTAAAACACGTATTATATGCATTTCGCGTTTTTCAAACAGTTTTCGTTTCGCTCGTTATCAACTGTGATAAATAAACGCAAAATAAACGCGTATATTTTCATTGCTTCCGTTAATACTATACACTATTCAATTCTGTATGATATTTTTGCTTTTCTCTCTCACTCTTTATTTTTCTACTAGCTTAAACTACTCAATATTGCCCAAGCTATGACAAAGTGTCTATGACAAAGTGGATAAAATCAGGAAGAGGGGGTGGGATGTCCAGGTTTCAGGATAGTTTATATTTTCCGCAGGATCTTCTAGAGAATAATTATGTCAAATTTAGTTCAGAACCCGATTTAGTGTTTAGGAATTAATAGGGAATACACACACAGACATTCTATTTTATATAGTATATTTCTTTCTTTGTTTCCTATTGTTTCAATATATAACATACAATAGCTACTTGTTTCTATTGTATAACATACAATAACGCATTAGTAAGAATTCATTTCATCGCGCGTAACACGAAGCACAAACCGACGATAATTACTCGCACCTTCGACATTTAAATGGAAACGCGCCGTGGCTTTGAAATATTTTTCACGTCGCATGCAAACGCTACTCGAAATTCGAGCCGTTATCGCCCGGTTGGCGTCCGTCCAGAATTTTAATTCGCGCGTTATCACCCGGAGAATATCAATCACGCACCTTAAATTGCTCGTGAAACAGATCCACACGTGCGAAGAGCAGATCCTGCTCTCTTGAAGAACGGATACGTTGCTCTCTTGGGTATCGATCCGGGGTTGGATATCAGTCACGATAATTTTTCATAAGCTTGTGACGCAGAGGCGACAGGCGGGACCTGCAATCTTGGCTTTCGCTGCAACTGCACGGGACTTTTTCGGGAGGCAATGCGGAGTCCCCGTGCGGCTCTGCGCAACGAGAAACGCCGAGCGTGCCGCACAGGGGTATAGAAATTATACGTTTCATTTAATCGTCGCGGTAGCGGCACGCGCGTATTGTGACGTCAGTGCTTCATTTGCGATTAGCCTAGAGCCGTTGTTGTCGCGATCACATTCAACCGTGATCTTCGTCAACGATACACTGACAGACAGTGCTTGACATTTGTGGCGATCATTGCATAGTGACATAATTACAGCCAGGAAGTCTATTTCTAGCAGCGAACGCTGCTATTACTAATAATGCGTTATGAACACATCGTTTTATATGTACACTGCTTTTTTCTCAGATCAAGAGAAAAATATACTTGACGTCGAAGATAATTACATATTACAATAATGAATTATTTCTTCTTTTGGTGTATTCGATTCTCATGTACATATACAGACTTAGCATTTGCATTATTGGCACTGCGATTTTCAGCCGTTTCCAGATGCGAGGTACACGTTTGACAATCGTAGGCACTGAGTGTTCAGGAATACAGTCAGTGTCATATCATTATCTAGATCCAGAATTACACGATTTTCAACCTTATGTGTAAGGTTGAAAATTGTGTAATTCTCTAGGGAATAATGGTACGGCATATGTGTGTGACGCTGACTGTATAGTAGGCTGCAAAACGGTTTGGACACGATAACGTTGAAAGCTCATCAAACTGTCAAAATTGGGAATCATTACTGACGGACATTTACACAGAACCAATATAATTAATGATATAATTAAGAACATTAAATAATACAGCATATAATAATATTAATAATAATTAAAGATATAATTATTGAGCAAGTGAGTCAGTGATGACTTTTAATTTTGACACGTTGACCTATGTAGACCCTCTCAGATACTTTCAAATGACAGGCGCAGACGGGCGTCCCCGCTGCATAAATTTCTGACTGCCACAGGATCGCTACCGGGCTCGACACGCTCTCTGCACGCGGCGCTCTTAACGACCCTTCGAGGCACCTTCATACCTATCATTACCAGTCACGTTCGACGGACAGTCAGCCGTGGTAGCTGGTGATAAAACGCGCGCGTCGCGCCATCATTTCCCCGACGGGAAAATTGCGACCGAGGATGGTTGGCTCAGCTGGCTCGCCTGTACTATGACTACGTCATCATCACGGCCCTGCGACACATCGGCAGGCCCTCTCTCCAAGGGCGCCGCAGCTTTCAAACGCGGCACTGCCGGCGCCGCGACGCCTGCGCGTCGTCCCGACGACTCACGGTGCATGGAGGACGACGATGGCTCAGGGGCGGCAGTGCGGGTTCAGGGGGCGGCGAGGGTGGGTGCCTCCTCCGTTGGAACTACCCCTTGACAACAGGCCGCGACCATTCTCTCACCCTCGGCGAGCCCCGCGCCGTGCACTTCGCCTCGCGCACACACGATTCCGCGCGATCAATCGAGTGCGTGGTGCGTGAGATCGGTGATCCCGTGTGCGGTCCGGAACTAACGTCGTCGCCGTCGCCGTCACCGTCGCCGCCACCGCCGCCACCACCGCCGCCACCACCACCGCCGCCGCCGCCACCACCACCACCACCACCACCACCACTACGACTAGCACCACCACCACCACCAGCACTGTCGTCGTCGTCGTCGTCGTCGTCGTCGTCGTCGTCGTCGTCGTCGTCATCGTCATCGTCGTCGCTGCCGTCTCCGCGTCGTCGTCGTCGTCGTTCTTCTCCTCTCGGGGAGGATCCGCGCGACGCGCACGGAACGTGAACGACAGCTCCCGCTCGTTCAGGTAAATCGATCAACGCACACACGAATCCGCCTGGCATGGCACACAACGCACACAGTTGCGACATACCGGCGAGATTTCCAATCCGCAACGCGGTGCGGCGTGACACGACGCGACGAGACGCTACGCGCGAAGATGCAGTGGTGTGCATCTGGATTGGGCACCCTCGAGCCTGGGTTAAGGGCTCGAGGGGGCACGCGGGGCCTGCACAGCACGCGTCAGGCTGGTGAGACCGGCACGACGCGGCACGGCGCGGCGCGTCACGTCACGTCACGTCGCTCGCGTACCGCCGGTAACGTGTGCGCGTAGTAATACGTAATACCTCGGAGTAACGTGTGTACTTGAGAAGGAATGCGTACCGGTCGTTCCTCGCCTCCCGTGACGATCGCTAGGACGTTTTTCCCGGGTGTGATTGTGTGCCCTTTCTGGTCGCAGGGACTGTCGCAGGGAAGTCGGTCGCGCTCTCCTGTTTTATCTCGCGTTATCAGTGTACGTTACGATTTATTCCAGCTCCATGAGGATAATATGTTTCTCTCTCTCTCTCTCTCTCTCTCTCTCTCTCTCTCTCTCTCTCTCTCTTTTCCTCCCTACCTTTCTTTTCCTTTCTTCCTCTTGCCCGACATTTGATGCTGCAGTTTGACTATCGCGCCGGCGATTATCGTTAAGAGAAACGCTTTCGCATTTTTGCCGCGACGCACGGTGTGAACTACCGCTTTTTTAATTTCCGTCGATAAAATATGCAGATAGGTCGGCGGCCGTTTCGCGACAGAGAGAAGGGGAGAATAATCTCGCGGCTTCGTGTATGTGTGTATGTGTGTGTAGAATTTGGCGCAATTTTGTATTAATAACGCGCGTTTAAGGGAGAAGCGGAAAATGCGGATCGCCGATGAAAATATCACGATAAGTGTCGCTAAGCGACAGATAACCGCCGTGATAACATTGTCTACGAACGATTACTCGCTAGCATAACCGATGACGGCTTCCATAATAAATGAGCGCGGAATTGTTTGCTAGCATTGCACGCCGCATAAATTATTCAGTTTGCCGGCGGATAAAAGGTAATAAATTATAAATTTACGAAATTACGCACGGCCAATCCGTACGTAGCACGGGGAATATTCGTCCGCGCGTATCGCCCGTCTCGATCGTCATGATTTGCATGACGTCTCGTCCACTAAGAGGAGAAAAAGAAGAAAGGAAAAAAAAAGAACGGGAAAACATAGAAAAAAAATCTTCAAATTACTAAGAAATCAGTGCGATAACGATAACTGGTATCGCGCGGTCCTTCCTTTTTTTCCTTTTTTATAATATACTTCCTATAGTAACAGATAAACGCATAAATAATCCCATAGATTCGATAAACGCAGATCAATTCGTATGTCTAACTCAGACTGTGTGCAAGCGAGTTATGGACTCATGGATACCGGTTCCGACCCCTCAGTCTAAGATTGTGCGTCGTCGTCGTCGTCGAAACGTAAGAGGCTTTACCGTCCACAATTGAGTATTTCGCGAAGGTTACGCTGACCCACATCGGTATTAGCGTATAAATATCGTCGAGAGCAGGTTTCACGAGAGAGAAAGAGAGAGAGATTTGTCACCTGTCCGCACGATGTGAATATACGTGCCGACATAATATATTCATCGTTCATTAGACTCGTCACGGAAATGGGCTCCACCTATCCACGAGACGATAATTTAATTAATCGATCATTAACTTTTATTTAACTCATACTTGAAACGACCCGGCGCGTACCTCGAAGGTAACTAGCTGGTCTGACGGATAAATTTGCGGAACTTTTGCCGATAGTTATACCACGATAGTTATGGCACGATTGTGCGAATCGCGCGCACTTGTCCGCCGCCGAGTGTTTAGCAAGAATGAAAAATTAACGTTTAAATCCACCCGAGTTTCAATGCGCGCGCGCGTATGTGTATGTGTGTGTAAACCGCGAGCGACTGCACGCAATAATTCAGGCCTTGAAAAAAGTTCAAGTTGCGGAGTTTCAGCCTATAATAATGCGGATTAACGCCAGACTCGCCAAATTGCTCGCGATTTATTATTATACGCAAACACTCCGCCGATATGCATCGACGAGAACGATCCGCGGAAACTAAAAACCTGGCGTGGCGATATTAAATAAAGGCCGAGGGACCACGTCGTCGCGTGCTTTCGCCAATATCACACGAGGTCTCCTTCTTTGCGCCGCGTGAGTTTCCCAAGTATCACGGGCAAGTGATTTAGCGTCGTCCTTGGCCGAAAATTACGCGTTAATCCCTCACGTGGAAATTCAGGTAAAAGTACCAATGGCTGGAGGCACGTGCCTAATCCTGGACATTTTTTCCTCATCTGGACATTCTGCTTTGGTCTTTAAATGCGAATACTTAAAATTTCAACATAAAATATCTACATATTGGACGTATAAATATAATAATATTCTATGTTAAAGTTTAAGTATTTATATTTTGAGAACTGAAACGAATATTTATTAATATTATCTTATGAAGAGAATGAATCCCCCAGGCATTTTTATTGTTTTGATCTTCGATCCTGCATTACTAAGTTGTCGTAAAAGTATGACAGCAAATCGAAAATTTCTAGAAATCGTAATGTTCGCGTTGCTGAAGTCGCCTCATCCCTGTCTACCTTCTTAGTTTAATAATCTAGGATTAAGTATGAATATTTAAAGCTTTCAAATCAAACAAAAGATATATTTATATGAGAATATTTAGATATATTCTATGTTGAAAGTTTAAATATCCCAATTTAAAAACCAAAATAAAATAACAATGTCCAGAATTATCTGACTCGAAATTTTACCCCCTCTTTCAACCTGAACCTTCTAACGTTTGTACATTCTAAAGGATCAGTGTTATGCTTAACACTAGACTACCGACGATTAACGATCTATTTCTATAAGAGTTAAAATAGCAGTGTTTTGAAAAAAAATACACGATGCAGGGGAAAACATTTATTTACCTTTTAAATATTTATTTACCTTTTTTTAGTTTCATTCAATTAAAGATATAAAATGCGCTGTTATAAATACGCGTAATTTTTATCATAAATTACAAACCCGCCGTTTTGACTGCTTTGTAGTAAAAATATAATGTTTCAGGTAGTTTCAGTTAATACACATGTAAACTTACAAATAAACCTACCCAAAAGTCTCCGATTTCTTTCTAATTTGGCACAAATGTGAAAGTACAAAAAATATTTAGGTCATATTTTTTCATTTTGACCTACTTTGAGTTTTACAGGCAGTTTATAGTTTTTTAATATTCTCACTCCTATCATCAATAAGTGCAATAAAAATGCATAAGAAATAAAATTGAATTAAACAAGATATAGGCGTTTTTGGTTTGCTGGTTATGAATATGAAGTCAAATGTGTAAAATTATTTGTATAAGTAATAAAATGTTTAAACAAAACATGTAAAAAGTTAAAAAATTATTTATCAAATTTACAAATAATTTCTCGGTTTGGCCGAGATTCGAACCATTTTTGGCTAATTTAGCACAGATTTGAAATGTTTCGGTTGAAATCTCGACTAAAGAAATTCAGAATGGTTCGTGTCTCAGCTATGCCGATTTTGTTAAAATTATTTAGCTATATCTTGTATTCAATTTTATTTCTTATGTATTTTTATTGTTTTTGTTAATGTTAGGAATGAGAACATTAAAAAGCTATAAATTGCAGTGAAACTCAAAGTGAGCCAAAATAAAAAAAAATATAATCTAAATATTTTTTGTATTTCTATATTTGTGCCAAATTAGAAAGAAATCGGAGTGCACCTTTTTGGGTAGGTTTATTTATTAATACTTAGCGTCTCTAAATGGCAGAAAACACAAAATGTCGCTTGTAAGTTCCAAGAGGACCTCGTGGCAATGTCAATAATTTAAATAGCCTTAAAATAATTTGATATAGGCTTTAGATATTAGATAGGCATTAAGTGGAATATGAAGGTCCAAACAGGATCAAAATTTTGACTCGGGTAGGACTGCGCATCCTGGAATTGGTACTTTTACCTGAGACCGATGCGATTATTGCAATCTGGCAGCCAAATACTTGTCAAGATATCGAGTCCATATCGATTCTCCATCCCGAGGATCGCGAAATCGATCGGTGAATCGTTCCTCCGCATTTCCTGTGAGTGAGGAGAGCGATCGATTCGCGCAATAATCTTTCAACGATTAGTTTCAGTATGGAGTGCCCCGAAGCGGTAGAACGAGGTCGGAATTTTCGTCTACTCGCTGAAGAGGAGCTGTCTCAACTTTTGGACGTGCTCACGGGATACCTGCCCGAATCGCTCAAGGTACGTGTATCGTTCCAGCTCACGATCGTTCGCCCCCTGTTACCTGCAGTCATAGATACAAGCGTTTTCCGCATCCGGATAGCTCTCTGCAAATTGCGCAATCCGACACCTCGCGTCCCGCGTCTTCCCGCGTCGCCCTCTCGACACGATTTCTCCTCGTGAATTGCTAAACTCGCTCGATACACAGCGACGTTAACACGGCACTCTGATACCGAGGCGCCTCATTAATTGGCGCGTAAGACGCAATTAACCGCGTGCGTCGCGAATCAGATGCACCGGCCGACACGGGGAGCCAATTGAACGAGATAAAGAGCCGGGAATTGTTCGCCGTACCGTTGATTACACGATTTTCTCTTGTGTTCTCGAGCTAATCGATGGAAATCAGCACGGCGTTCAATGCGTCAATTTCGTGTTTGACGTTGACGAAGGTAAAAAAAAAATATATAAAAGAGAAGGTAAAAAAAAATGTCTGTTATCCTAGAGTTAACAAGTCCCCTTGACGTTTACCGATGACGGCGAAGTAGCGTGGAAAACGTACAGCTACAGGCAATATTTTTGCTGGGATCGCCAATCGTTTAAAGCAGAATAATAATGATACGATAGCAGATATTTTTGATCGGCTGCATTTCGCTCTCTCTCTTTCTCTCTCTCTTTCCCTCTCTCTTACGAAGATCTCCGGCAGAATTGCGACATTATTATTCGAAATCGGTGCGAGTGCACACATATGACATTTGATTGGGTAATTAATGTCCGGCATTTAATTTTCTTAGCACGCACGCGCTATTAGCCCTTCTGCCCGGAGCGTCTCGTTAGCAGGTTCGACGGATATTGGAGCTCGTTACGTCCGTTCAAGACTCAAGGGAAGAACGGGCTGCGTCCGTCGAAGATGGCTAATTACTGCACATTCAGCGTGCAAATTAGTCTGCGTTTAGTCTGCAAACGACCTCAGTCGACGCAAAGAGCAATACGTTGAACTAACAATCACTCTACCGATCAATAATACAATTAAAGAGACGCGGAAAGCGACGGGAATTCGCGCGACCGAGCGAAAAAGCGAGAGACAGACAGAGAGAGAAAGAGAGAGAGACGAGAGCCGGACTGACGCGGAACCCATTATTTTAGAACCCTTGTAATAAATGCTCTCGCTTCCGCGTCGGGTTGTGTGCACTTTTACTCGTGTAACAATAACGTCTCGAAATCGATATGACTCGGCGCGCACCGTCAGCGCGTATATTTTTAGCCAGTCGACAGTCCAGGATAAAACATAAATTTCTATAAAGGGGTTACACATCTGGGAGTGTCACGCGTACACGCGCTTACAAAGCAACGAATCGCAAAAGTGTTAACGCTATTATTGTTGGCTCCCCTTTCTCTCTCTCTCTCTCTCTCTCTCTCTCTCTCTCTCTCTCTCTCTCTCTC